CAGCTGCCTGCCATGGGCTGGTTGATCCCCACCAGATCAGGCTGCCCAAGACCCCATCCAAACTGGCCTAGAATACCTTCAGGGATGGGGCATCCACAGCTTCTCTGGCCAGCATCTCCCAGTGACTTACTACCCTTACTACCCTAACATCTTACACAAATGTTCTCTTGTTTAGGTTGCCATTCCTCCTTTTCCTGTCACTATCAAAACATGTAAAAAGTTGGTATCCCTCCTGGTTCATAAGCTTACTTTAAGTATTGTAAGGTTGCAACAGGGTCTCCCTGCAGACTTCTCCAGACTGAACAAGCCATGCTTTTCAGCCTTTATTCAAAGGATAGGTGCTTAGAGGCTCTCCTCTGTACCTGAACCAACATCTTCCTTGTGCTGGGGGCCCCATACCTGGAAACAGTACTGCAGATGGGGCCTCACTGGCAGAGCAGAGGGAGACAACCACCTCCGTCCCCCTGCCGCCACCCCTGTTGATGCAGCCCAGGATATTGCAGGCCTTCTAGGTTGCAAGTGCACACTGCTGGCTCATGTCCAGCTTTTTGTTCACCAGAACTGCCAAGTCCTCTGCAAAGCTGCTTTCAGTGATTTCTCCCAGTTTGTACATGTATACAGGATTGCTCTGATCCAAGTGCAGCACCTTATACTTAGTCTTGTAGAATCTCATTAGTTTCCCATGGGCCCAATTCTCAAGCCTGCCCTCGTCCCTTTGGGGGAGAACTGGCAAATCCATGCTGCAAGATCAAAAAACAGTGGCAGTGCAGAAGGTGGTTAATTAAATCATCAGTTCCTAGTTTCTGATGAGTTAAAACATAATTATCTAATTTTATTCTTTTAACTACACAAGGGCCTTACAACTTAAAAAAAAAAAAAAAGCACAACATTTTTGTAATTATTTGTCTGAGCACTCATTTTTTGCTAAGCTAGTGGAGAAGTAATAGGAATCAATTATGTGACCTAAGAGTCACCAGTGGACTCTGAAGTCTTTACTCCAACACAAAGAACAAGAAACTATTTAATTGCTCCTCTGACCACATTAAGCAGTATACATCCCTGGACAAAGACTTTAGCATTCGCTTTAACCAAAAGTCATCAATCTTTGTATACATTAAAGTACAGAGGTCTATCAGCAATTATTTGAGTGTTCTTGGAAGAGCTTAAGTAAAGTTTCCTTGATGTGATTATTTGCCTTGTGTTACACTCATTCTTGGCACAGTTTCACTGGAAGGATTACAGCTGGGATTAATTTGGACATTCTGTATTTATGGCTGACACTTTATATACCTTTCAAAAAGGTTTATTCCTTGTTTGCAGTTATTTGCACTTCTCTGGAATGTGCTGGCTGGCACCTTTTTTCACTTGCCATGTTAACACTGATTTCAGAATTTAAGTCAAACTTAGTTACTACTGGCAACACACGAGGTATGAGGGGATCCATTTTGATGCTCACCTAACAGCTGCAAGTCCATGAATTTTATGATCACAAGGATCTGAGCTCCTACTGAATTTAAAACCCATACAATTACAGAGAGAGCAAGATTATGATTGGAGAGAAACACTTCAGGACATTCAGTTTAAAAGCCCTCCACAAATATCACACAAATCCCAGATGTACCATATTTTACCGTGATCATGCTCAGGTATAGGAGGGAAGAGAAAAAAATGACATTATACAGACACATGGAATCGACAGTATTGTCCGATTTTGTGGTGCTGTTTGTGGCAGGCTGCAACCCCAACTAGCACCTCCTGGTGATCAGATTGCAGGACCAAACCAGCTCTTTGCCCATGTTGCCAGGGTGACTTATGCACTGCTCTGGGATCTGAGATACCAGTTACAGAAAATGAAAAAATGTGGAGGAATGCAGAGTGAGGACATCAGAGTCACTGAGGCATTATCCATCCAGCATCCATCACTCCTAACCTTCACAGTAGTTTGATAACCACAGTGCAGTGATAAGAGTGCAGCACACTGACAGTGATAGCACTGGTGTCTGTAGACAGCCTTCACCCTCTCCAAACTCTGCAAAAGCATGTGCATGTAAAACAATACCCTGTAGCCCATTGGCATCAGCAAGTGACATGTGCTGGCATTGCTGGTACCCACAGAATATGATTTGCCATGCTTCTGACCAAAGCAACACACTTGGCCACTTCATTTATAGGATCTTTTGGTTTTCTATCCCTATTCAAGACTTTGGCTTCTGCACATTCTGTGCATGTGATTTCACATTTTTTTAATGCCCTCACAGAATGCTTTGTTCCTCCTGTATTGATAGTGTCAGACTCGTGTTGGACTACAGATATCTTGGTGCATTGGCTTGTTAACCCAACACACATCTTCACCTTCAGTCAGAGGTGAGCCTCCACTCTCAGATGAATGGTAAGCATTCTTCAGGAATATCTCAGTCATTCTGCCTACAAATTGAGTCCTGCACTGCTGAAGATAAAAAAGAAAAGCCCTGCCTTTATACATAGAAAGTTCTATCCTCCTCCAAGCCACAGGCTTATTCCACACCCTTCAGCAAATCTTTTTTTTCCTACTTCTGCTTTCAGACATCCAAATGACAACAATTTTTTCAAGACAGTATATACTACAACCTGTGCTTCTTACTCACCTTACATCTCAACTGATGTGACCCACCCTCCTTCTGCTGGTTCTTGGACAGAAGCAGACCAAGTGTTAGCAAAAGAGAAAGACAAAAGAGGCTATCTGGGAAAATAGAAATAGCAGGAGTTCCTTGCTATTTCTCTCTTCTCACAGATAAATACCATCATTTTCTTCCACAACAGAGAAAGGACTAAGTAGAACCTACATACCTACATACATTTTTGAAGCTTTTGCTAATAAAGTAGAACAAAAATAATCAGAAAATTCACAGATGAATGTCCACATAGTAGGGTTTGAGTTCAGTATATCCTACAATGCCTAGATAGAGACCTGAGCCCAACAGAAATCAGCATCTAACATTCGACGCCACTTCACTAAGACATGAAAATACCTCTGCAAAGTCTCTGCAACATTCAGTTGCCACTCAGTAAATAAAGGAAGTAATTGTATCTTTGTTGTCAAAACATCAACCAAGTCAATAAATTAATAAAAGCTCCTGGCTCCTTTGTATAAATATTTCCTGCCTTCTTTTATGTAAGAATTGTACTAATCATTGTCTTTCTGCTTATACAGAAACATTTTCATATAGGATAGGTAATCCTTCTTCTAGTTCAATACTGCTCAAATTTTATATATCATGCACCACTTCCACGTCCCTGTTTGTTAGGTAAATCTAACTATCTAACAGTATTATGTACACGAACAATAAACATGCTACAGTTTTTAATCAGACCTTCGCTGTTTAGCTGTAAGAATATGCTGTGCAGAACCATGAATCTGCAATAAATTCACTTGTCACATTACCCACTTCTCTGCAGCTCAAAGATTTATGCCAGCACTTCTTTGCCAAAGGAGGTAGATCTATAAAATTAAAGACTTGACAGACGTATGAGGTGACAGTTGTGTATCAATCATTTTACCCTGGCTGACATGCAGATACATCTGAGTCCAGTAACAGCATATTACAACATTATACCAGCCTGAGGAGGGGAACCATGTAACACATTTTGAGAACACAAAAAACTCAAGAATTAAGGATGTAATTGACTGAACTGGAATTTGGACAGCATGCTGATGTGATGCTGCTGTCTATGCAAGCGGTGCTATGAGGTTTTGAGGGGTTTATAGTGGGTGTGAATCTAAATACTCCTTTTTGTCCTCTAGCAAGACATTAGATATGTCCATTCTTGCAGGGTATTACCCTCAGTGGTAACAGCTGTTGCCCTTGTTTGGCACCTGAGAGCAGAGAAGGGCACTTATAAATAAAAAGGTTTCAGGTCTTCTCCCCATCAAATCCTGACAAAACTAGTTTGAAGGTTTTGTGTGTGTGCTGCTTTTTTCTTGCTTTTTTTGTTGTTGGTTTTGTTTTGTTGTTCTTTTTCTTTTTGTTTTTAAATGCATCTGTTGAAAGCAAATCACTCGTCAATCACACACACACATGTAAACAGCAAAATTCTGCCTAGGTTTGTGTTTGCATGCCTCAGCCTGCAAGCTGGTAGGAACCAGCTCTAGCATACACAGCAGTTATGTGCTCTAAACTGAGCAATGCAGAGCAAGTAGGTTTACTACACAATTTGGATTGAAATGGGGCATTCGGTATCTCTCATATTTATATATGCAGAATCTGATTTAAATCAGCCTGAGATTTCCAAGAGGGATATTACAGTAAAGGACTACTGCAAACTTCTCAGAGATGCACAAATGGAAGTCACAAAGAGAAATTTGCTTTGCTATAACTAAAACAACATCCATCTTGCCTAATTTACAAAGCTTAGTAGGATTTTACTGAGTAAAACCAGATCTTTAAGTAGTCCAGGTGCTTTTTTCTGGCAACAAGACTTGCCAGAAAAAAACACTAATTTGTAGGCTCATCCAGATTTCAGGTTGCCCAGGTTCGCCAAGACAGTGTTATTCTTTTTAGGGTAAAGCAGCTGCCACAGAGATTGAGTAAAGGCAATTTCCATCTCCCCCCCAGCATTTAACTCTGCTCTATCTGAGCAGAAACCCTTAGGCTGAACCAGCAAAGGGGCACAGTATGATCTCCCTCCTGCTTTTGCTGCTCCTAGGACAGCACCATGCACTTCCTGGAAGGGCAAAGCCAGCACCACCTGCACCTCGGTACAGACCTCCTCTGCCTCAGAATCACCTGTGTCCAACACCGTGCTCTCCCAGCAGACTGGCACACAACAATCATTCAGCAGGAGTACTGCTATTTGGGCCAATTCTCACTGCTCTGGCAGCAGCAAGAGATGAAAACAAGGGAGGGAGACGGTTGGTATATGAGAACTTCTACGAATAGGGAAAAACACCGGGCTTCAACCCCCACCTACCCCTCACACTGAGCTGGGGAACCCCAAAATGCCACTTCCACTTGGGTTCCTACCTGGCATCGATGGGACTGCAGCTTCAGGGGTGGCAGCAGGGGCGGCAGGGGGTTGCTGCTGGCTGGAGCTGACCTCGGGCTCTGCACTCACTGAGGGTGACACAGCTGCCTCACCACCCCCTGGGGCTGGCTGCTGGGCAGGCAGCAGGGTCTCTTCTGCGGCTGGGGCCTCCTCCTGCCCAGGCAGCTGCAGGGCTGACAGTGGGATGCTGATGGCCTTCCCCACCGCAGTGGCATTGGAGCTAGTGGCTGGTGCCTGCAGGGTGGCTGGGGGGCCGCTGCTTGCCCCACGGGCTGGGGAAACCAGGGCAGCTCGGGGAGGTCTCTGCGCAGGGAGCCAGGGTGGGCCAGGCGGGGAGGCACAGAGGTGTTGCGGGTCGGGGTCGGGGCCAGCAGCAGGCAGGGGTAGGGCCCTGGTGGTGCCCAGGCCAGAGGGCCCGGCCTGCACTGGTGCTTTGGGCTTGGACATCTGGGTGAGGGCCAGGGCCGGCCCGTCAGCACCAGCCGTCAGCTCGGCATTGGCCACGATGTAGTAATCCTCGGGCAGCTCCTGCTTGATCTTCTTGAGGATAACCTCGCCGCTGCCCTCATCAGCTGGCTGGGCCTGGGCAGCAGCAGGGAGCCCAGCGGGTGGCCGCTTCCGAGGGCCACCGGGCATGCGGTGGAGGTGTGGCTCAAAGTCACTGTCCTCATCCGTGACAGAGGACTCGCAGACCATATCGAAGAGAGTGGCCTCATCTTCGTACTCCTCCACCGGCTCGCCCAACTCTGAGGGCTCACTGCAGTAGGAGAAATCACAGGAGTCACGGGTGCGGGTGCAGTCCAGCTTGGCCTTCCCTGGCCGGCCTGGGTAACGCTCAAGTGGGCTGGCCTGAGTCTCAGAGGGCACCCCCAACATGCTGGGACTGTCTGAATTGAAGCTGCGGCTGTCCTGGAAGCAGACGCGTTCCTGGGAGCCAGCCCGGCAAGTGGCGGCCAGGGGCCAGTGGTAGGCATGGCCAGCACTGCAGCCCCACATGGCGGTCAGGTTGCCGTGGGCTCCCTCGGACAGCAGGTGCTTGAGGTTGGGGATGAGGCTGCAGATGGTCCCGTGGCTGTGGGCCCAGCTCACCAGCTTGGAGAGGTTTTCAGAGGAGGTGTGAAGGCAGTCCTCCATGGTGCAGGATCGGTAAAGCTTGGCTGGCTAGATGTCAGCTGGAGACACAGTTTAGATGACAGGGTCCCAGCACTTACACTTGTGCTGCTCCAGTCTCATGCTTGTCATTTGCCTGCAAACAGAGAGCAAAACCCCTCTTTTCAGTGCTGTCAGCTCTAGTAAAACCATTTTATTTTCATCTCATGCACTCCAAAAGGCATTTCACAAAATAGCACCTGCTTCTCAGCAGACCATTTCCTTATTTCACAGAATAATCCTTTGAAAAATGTACATTTAAAACCTCGGGGAAAAACATCCTTGCAAAATACAATTACAACAAGATAAAAAATAGATTCCTAAGCAACCAAGATCAGTATTAATGGCAATATGATTTGAAGCTTAAAACACTGATAAAATGCAAATACAGACAGAAAACTGGTGAACATGACCTCATACTCAGGACACGAAAATTAAATAAAATCCTAAGCATACAATTTATCTAGAACATCAAAGTGGCAATTTAAGCAACAGCTCAGACATTCACTCTGCATCTGATGAAAATTTATGACACTTTACGTTATTTATGCATGTTTCTCTAATTTATAAAACATTTCCTTTATAAGCAAATTTCAGGGATATTAAGGTCTGAAACTTTATTTTTCAGTATACAGAAATGGCTAGTAAATTCACCCTTTACTGTGTAGTATTGAGAGTTGTCACCTGTCCAAAGGCATATCAGAAGCTTAAGGGACCTGCAAGGTCAAGTTATAACATTTCTTAATGAACTTTGTGAACTAAGATTTTATTTTTACTACATCTTCTTGCTTCACAGATCCAAACTACAATTCTATTGAAGATAAACATTTGTCATTTTCATCACAATTATCTACACATTTGCAGCACATAGACATCTGTCATCAAGGCCACGAATCCTGTAATATTTCAGGTCAAACATAAAAACACAAGGCTTGTCTTATGCTCATCTTTTCGTGCTTTCCACCTACATGCAACAGGTACTTTCCAGGTAAGACCTCACCCACAAAACATCAGAAGCCCTCAGTTTCCCAGATCTTCAGTGCAAGGACTTTCCAGCAGACCTTGCAGTTTTTTCTCTGATACTCATTTCTTTACAAAAAAATAAAAATAAAAAAAATCAGATGTGACATAGGTCATTCAACTAAGTGAACAGAGAGAAAAAGAAGAAAAAATTAAGTAAACATTAACCATTTGTTCAGTAAATAAAGAAGAGCAAGGAATTGTAACATAACTTAGCTAAAGATGCTGAAATTGTTTACAGAGAATTGCTTGGGCTTTAGCATTCTTCTCCCTGAGCGGTTGCTGTGGTCTAACCTGGCAGGCAGCTCAGTGTCACACAACCCCAGCGTGCTGGGGGAGAGAAACAAAAATAGGAAACAGTAGAAGAACTCATGGGTTGAGACAAGGACAGACTGACAAGAAATGGATAAGAAAAATCAAGAATATATTAAACAAGCCATGCACTAGGCAACTGCTCACCACCTTCCAGCAGATGCCAGCCAGTTCCTGAGCAGCAGCAGCACTCATTAGCCAGTTCCTCCCAGTTTGTTCAGTGTGATGCCACATGATAGGGGACATTCCTTTGGTTAGTTTGGTTCAGCTGTCCTGGTTCTGTCCCCTCCCAGCTCCTTGTGCACCTGCTCACTAGCAGAGCAGTGTGAGAAGCTGAAAAGTCCTGGACTCTAAGCACTGCTCAGCGACAACTAAAACATCCGCTTGTTATCAACATTATTTTCATCTTAAATCCAAAACACAGCACCACACCAGCTCCTAGAAAGACAGTTAACTCTATCCCAGCTGAAAGCCAGGTAGCAACCTACTCAGGCATCTGACAGCAAAATACTGGATCATTCAGGAGGCCATTTTCAAGGTGGGAAATTATCATCCCTTCAAGGACTGCTCCTGACATAGGTTAAAGTTAACTGCAAAGCATTAACTGACTTCAGAAGGTCCCAGAGGTCTGTAAAAAGTTACCACTTTGCAGATATTCCCTAACATACAGCTCTTACCCCTTGCTAATGAAACTGGACAGTCTCTCCTTACTTATGTTATTGCTTTACTTCTAAAAACTGAAATTACTTATGTTGCTGGAAAAGATCAATAATTTAAGTGAGTTAACAACTCAGAATTTCATGTTTGCTCAGATTAGGTTGGGTTGAAAACATTTTGAAGTTATTTCTCAGGCTAAGCGGTGGGGATTAAAAGTATATTTGTATCTCAATCTAAGGATGTCTGTGTTTCCCACTGCACCAAAGGTCATTTTTTTTCAAACAAGATATCTCAATTCAGTACAATCTCAATTTGGTAAATATATTTTTTCAGTTATTCATGAACTGAGTGAAACATTTTTCATCAACATAATCAAGAAACTGCAGCACTGACAGGTGATATGCAGAGACACTCAGACTGCCTCAGACAAATAAATCACACTGGGAACTTCTGCCTGTTTCAGCAGACTTCTGTGGAGGCTCTTCCTCATCTTCTGCCTTTGCTTTTGGAGCACGACCTACCAGACTTGGAGCTGGCCCCATCTCACCTATATTTCCATACACACAGAAAATCCCTTTACACTTTTTTTCCCAACTGAAATTCAGCATTCACACCAACCTAATTATACCTAATTTTGTTCTTTTTCCTCTTCCACGAACACATTTTTAGATGTAAAATGAAACGTGTTATGGCTCAGAAAGACAGCTGCACCATGGCTAACAGCCTCCAGAGAACGCTTCCCGTAAAATCAACACAAGTCACGGTGTCACCTGAAACAAAACTTGCACAATCAGTGCCTTTGTGCAGTGTAATAAAAGCACCAGGGTCCCCACCTTGCAAACTCTGTTAGGCACACGATAACGCTGCTCTTTCTAAATACACAGCTTTTAAAGGCTTACGAGTTTCATGCAGCTGTTTGTTTAAAAATTTTAAAGGTACACAGTCAATACTGAAAGGGTCAAAGTCCCCAGGGCACCTCTATTTCAGCTGACTGTGTATGCAAAGATATGGGCATAAAACATACTCCACCACAGAATAAACACACACAGTCCTCTGAGATGTGTAGTTCTCCTTCTCTTCTGTAGGTATAGCTGAACTATCGTCGATCCATAGTACTGGAGCATTAACTCTTTAATTCCCAGTGCTCTACATGTTGCTGGATGTGGAATACTGATAACAAAAATCTTAAAACCATGACAGAGGAGTAACACCACACTCACATAAGATAAAGAGGACAGCCAGGAAAACGAATAGGCAAAAGGAGGGAGCTGCTCTCCAGGGCTGTGCCCATCAGCAACATCAGTGCAAGGCCATGAGAAAGAACAGAGCTGCCCAGTTGCTGCATGACCAGATACATATCTTGAGAAGATGGAAAGCCCAGTTTAGCTGAAGAACTGGGAAATGGCATCAATTAAACTCTTGACCTAGACTGCTTGTGCTGGGCTGAAAATCCAAAAACATCTGCTACTGAGAAACTATGTGGTTTTGGTTCACAACCTGCAGCAGAAGTCAACAATGCTGCTTTGGCAGGAGCAGGCTCACCCTGAAGAAAGTAGAGCAGACAGTCAGCAAATCCATAATTACTTACCTGGTTTCCTGAGGAGTGAGCTTGTCTGCTCACTCACAGAGCATTGCTGCTTGCTGACAGTCTGCTCTCGTATGCAAAATCACATTTTAAAGATTATATAAGTCCTTCATTCAGACAGGCAAGATTCAATAAGATGACTCATGCTTAATTAACCTGCTCTCATGTACACTCTGAAATCATCCAGAGGCTGGCAAAAACATACTACAGCTTCATAACACTGTTTAAACGGCACTGCAGTCTGCAGAGCCTTAACTTTCCACAGCAGTTTTCTGCAGCTCAGAGCCTAATAATGTCTAGGAGAGTATGCATCCCCACGTCTGGAAATTCACTATAGCCCTTTGAGCCCCAAGTTAAAAATCATCTTTTATTGCTTGTTTACATTTTTACAGTTTCATTTACAACATACCTCTGTCGTGAGTAATGTGTATGAAATTCATGCTATGCCAGAAAGCTTTGCTGTTGCAAAACCGTTCTTTGAGATGTGTTAATACATTCACTGGAACATCATTTGATTTGGGAAGATGAGTATTTTCTTTATTCATAACTAGGGTTTTCTCAGAGGAGATTTCCTTGGTGACCAAACACTAATGAAAAATGGCATTTTCGAAATAGGTCTCCTTCTCCTTCAGGCGTGAGGCTTCCCAGCACAGTTTTGATTAGGACTTTATGGGAGGTCCTTGAGGAGAAATGGGGAAATCTGTGATGTGGCTTACCTGTAAGCAAGGCAGAAGAGGTGAGGATGCAGGGAAAGAGCTGAACATGAAAAATGGGATGCAGTAGAAGTTAGAGCTAGAAAGTGGGGGTCCTCAGCAGAGTTTGCACACTGGAGCATGCATTTGGTGGGCCTACGTCTTAGGGAAGGTGGCAAGTGCATTTTGTTGAAAGGAAAGCAAGAAACGTGGCCAGTCCTTTCACATAATCACAGGTAGCCAATAATAGACTTCCTTCGCAGGGTAATAATGCTAGACAAATCAACAGAGGTTTGGAAAAGTCCAGGCATCACACAAAAACATATTTGAAATCCCATTATCAAAACTGATTATTAGCATTTCAAGAACTTTCACAATGCTTTTTGTTCAAGGGAGTAGTAGAGCTATGAGTACATCAACCAACTCTTGGGACATTATAGCAAAACTGAGGTACCCTGTTCAACGTTTCCTGGAACCCCAAGATTCTCAAATAGGGTTATAACACAGAAATAGCTATTATTAATAATAAAAAGTAATTTTATGATCATACAGCTGTGTAAAAACTCCAAAATCTGAATTCTAAAACATTAGAAGATATGTGTAGAAAACCTGCATTTATTCGTCATAAGTAGCATGGATTTCAAACCAGTCTTACAATAGCTTAAAAGTGACTTCCAGCTGATTCTACAGAGATCCTGTTTTCTCATACTAGTAAAAAACCAACAAACCAAACAACTCAGAATGTCTCAAATCCTCTTTGTTTCAGCCCCTATCCCTTGGCCAGACCTTCTGGGCTGTTATTCCATTGCCTTCTGAGGGAGAAACACTGTT